TTATTTCTCCTTTTTCTCCTCTTTTTTTCTCACTCTCATCCTTCTTTGTCTTCTCTCTCTTTTTTCTCTTATCTCTCTCTTCTCTCTTTCAATGTTGACATCAAATTATCAATATTTTTTAATTAATTTTTGAATATTAAAAAATTAAAATTATTAAATATTTTCTAATATTATTTTTAATAATTAAATATTTTAAAAACTAGCTATTTTTATTTTTATAAATTTTAATTTTAAGATTTCAAAATATACACATATATAATTATTTATTTAAAATCAATTTTTTCTTATGGTGTTAATTTAATCACCTTATAAGACTAAATTTAAAATTTAAGAAATTAGAATTGATTTATCCAAACAAACCATTTAATGAATGATGAAAATTAAAATCAAATGGATTCAAATTCTTTAGATTTCTTAAATTTCCTATCCATACATATCCTAAAAGAAATATGATGTAGATTAACGATAACAAGTGTAGTTATTTTGATGCATGAACTAGTGAAAAAAAGACTTTTAAGATCGATTATTTTTTACTTTTAAAGTCGGTTATAAATGTGATCTTAAAATAAACGATCTTAAAAGTGCACTTTTAAGATTGATTATCGAATAATCGATCTTAAAAGTATCAACTTTTAAATGTCGTAGTGGGTGTGACGACGACAAAGTTCTAGGGGCTTCTTGAAGAGCTTACAAACATCAAATAGTTTTTTTGGCAATGCTAAAGTAGTGGTAGTAGGGGTTGGGGTCATGGCTATTGGGGTTAGGAACGTCGACAATGTCACCATCGAGGTCGATCATCTTGGTAAAGTGCTTGGTGAGGTTGGGCCTCCCGAGGTCGAGGAAGTGGCTCTCCCAATGGGACTTCTCGTGGATGAGTTTGTTGATCTCATCGTTGAGGTCATGAAGGCGGCGCTTCCCGAGGCCCTCGTTCTAGATTTCCACCACTTTGTGCCCAATCTCATGCATGATTTGTTTATGCCACCAATTGACTTCTTCCCCTTCGCCTTCATCGCGATGAAGTAGTTCAACATCAACTGTGTATTCTCTTCGTTGTGAGTCATCTTCAGGAATGAAACCTAGCAAAATCAAGTTTTTGATTTTATTGATTGGGTTTGAGATTTGGATGAGATGAGATAAGGGGATTGAGGGAGATCGAGAGAGACAATAAACACATAGGCGTGAGAAAATATAAGGGGAACACATTTCATTAATACTTATGGGATTGATTAAATTGTAACTGGTCTTAAAATTACTTTTAATATTGATTCTTTTATAACTGATCTTAAAATGTATGTTTGATACAACTTTTAAGACTGAGTATAAAAAGAACCAATTTTGTATACCACTTTTAAAATTGGTTCTTTTATACCTTTCTTAAAAGTTATATCAGACATACCTTTTAGATCGGTCTTAAAAGAATCAATCTTAAAAATATTTATAAGATTGGTTAAAATTTAATTGATCTTAAAAGTTGTCACATTATTTATAAAATTGTTACTACGTCACTTTCAAGATTAGTTTCCTCTTAACCGACCTTAAAATCTCAATTTTAAAATTAATTTTTGAATTAAAGATGCTTCATTCATAAACAAGTATGATATATTTTCTGAACTTTTTGACGAGAATAAATGCCATTTTAATTTAAATTGCTTAGATTTTGGATAATTTGTCTATTCCTTTTGGGTACTATGCTACTTTGTAACTTAACACAATATTGTAGATGTTGCTTGAGGAATTTGAGTGTTTTAAAGTTAAAAGCAATCTCGTTTTAAAAATGACCCAAAAAACAATTATACTTGTGTATAATTTGCTTTAAATTGTTCTTCCAATAGAATGTAAATTAGAGTATATTAACTAAATTTGGTTGAGGTATAATTTTATTTTGATTTACAAAATGTGATTGATTGATTTCAAATGTCCATTTTGACAAAGAGCATAGCTATGCTTACATCCATTTTGACAAAGAGCATAGTTATATAAGTTCAAATGTTCATGGTTTAGCACTAGTTATGCTTACACTACGATGTTTCATTTTTTTTATTTTTGTTCAGGCCTCAAACTACTAGTGCATGAAATTTATTTTGGACTTTGGAGCCTATGATATATTAAATTGAGTATTGCTTGTGCTACACACCACCCTTGATTCCATCCCCCATCATGTGGATGCAAACATTTTTTACTCGATTGTAATTTACATTTAGAATTTGATATTAGTATGTTAGAAACGTTGGTAATTGATCATAGATATACTTACAACCTTTAATCTGATTAATTATAATATTTTGGTTTATAAAATTTTCTTTTTAATTGTGGTTGTAATTTAATTTCCAATTTTTGTAAAAGGCACGTTCCACCCTAATTTAACAACTTTTATGATACAATGTTCATGTGGAACTAAAGAAGCCTTATGAAAATACTTGGTAGTGAAACAAAATTGTTAGAGCCCATATTGAAATACTTAGTAGTGCAATGTGTAATGATTTGATATGTCACTACACTTGTACAATACAACAAACACTACGCAATAGAAAACACAAAAATCTTCTAACTTCTCTCTAGAATCTTGAAATATGAAACTTATGGAGTTTCTTTTTAGAAATTTCCTTTTATATATCAGTCCTCCTTGAGTCAACTCTCACACATTTAAGTTATATCCTCAATAATCTAAGCTTGTGTCATCTCAACTTTAACCCTTACCCCAAAAATAATATAAAATTAGTCATGATAATTAACTATATCAATGTAGGAAAAATTATAAATGAATTTGAAAGCAAACAAAAAATTGTTGAGAATTAAAGTGAGACTTCTACAAAATTCATATACATATACAAAAATTCACAGAGATAGACAAAAGATAAGTCACATATAAGGAATTTTATTTGTTATATTTTGTATAGACAATCCTCAAATTATTCCCATAGATATTAAATCACCAAATATTCTTTTAAACAACTATGAAAAAGTATAGCAAAACAAAAAATCACTAATTTCATTTTATTATTATTTTTTTTATAATGATGGTTATTAAAAATTATATTTTACTAGACTTTTAACTATTAATTGTATTTAATCTTACTAACTTAAGTTCCTAAAACATTTCATAAATAGATTACATATTTTTTTATTAGATAAAAAAAAACTTAATCTATCATGCAACGCAATTTTTTATATCATTTTTTGGATTAATTAACTAGAATCAAATGAACTAGCCATTAAAGCAATTTGGTCATTTGGGTTAACTGAACATGGATATTTTTATTCTTCTAAGGGAATTCATATTTGAATGAAAAGAAAAATTTGACTTTGGCCAAGTGAAGAGTTAAAAAGTTAAAATTTATAAGTTAACTTATTGAATATAATGTCTGATAAAATTAGTTAATAAACTACCTAAATTTTTTAATTGAGATATTAAAATAAATCAAGAATTTTCATTATTTCTTAGATTCATGCACAATTTAATTAAACAAAATTTTTCATTCATATATTCTTTTTGTTCCATCAAGAGTTTTAAAAAACTCTTGGACTCCCGACTTTGGAATATTCTATTTTCATGCAATTCATAGGGTTAAACAAGTAATCGGTAATTCACAATCACATTTAATATTTCTTGCGTTTGATTAATATAAAATAATATTTATTTATTTAATAACAAGTGTGAGAAACTAACATGCAAAAAAAATAGTTTATAAATTAAAAATGGTAAAGAAGAATTTCAAATAAATTAATGAGGATAAAAAAATTAAAAAAATAAAATAAAAGCTTGTAAACTATAAACTATTTTAATTAGTTTAAAATACTATAAATTCTTAAAATAAGCTTTCATACCAAACAAACTTGTTTAATCAAATTAAACTTATAAGTTGATCAAATAAGCATAGAAACTTAGAAACTCTTCAAATGTCGTATAAAACACACATAATTTTCTATTGAGTTTACAATATCAACAAAATGCTAGCACCAAAACACATTCTAATTTGAATACTGTATATATATATATATATATACTAGGACCAAAACACAGTTAGCCTATGCACCAAGTATTATTTAATATGCTTAACATATTCATCCACAAACTTCTCTTGATACTCTATTTCAGTGAGTTTAATATTTTTCATGAGATTACTTTTTCACTCAGTAACCCTTTTACCACCCCTACCATGCAGTCATCCTCATTCTAGGGAGATGATAAGTCCATATCAATACACATTTCCTCAGCTTCATCAACCGGTAACCCTTTCTCCCATTCCATTTCTCTTCTACAATCAGAAATTACTGTCTCTTTCAACTGTCCCAGAGAAATGCTAGTTGCACCTTGCTGGTGCACATTGTCACCATTGTCATCTAGAACACCATCGATTATACTCAAAACATCCCCAGGAGCATGCAAGCCAGGGTAATCCTGATAACAGTCATGATTCTCCTCCATAAGATAATTCTTCACATATTTTCCTTTCACATGCACATCATATTTCCCATTGGTGTGGCAATGCTTTTGAGCAATTTTCCTGTGCCTAGTGGTCCAGTCAGGGCGACTCCAAAGGTAGAGAGGTGGTGGTTTCAGGTTCCAGTCTTCCAATTGCTTGTCACGTATATCAAGAGAACCAGGTAGATAAAATGACTGGAGGAATAAACAACAGCAAAAGATAAGCTACTTCACATGTCCCTTGACTTGGTCACACAATCTTGGGATTGAAATCACAACTTTTGCCAACTCACCTTTCCAGAAAACATGTCATCATCCTCCCAAATTAAATCATATCCACCTTTTTTTCTGTCTAGTCTGGCAAAATAGTAGAGAAGTGAGGTTTTTTTTTTGTTACATCAGAAACACGAGCATAAAATGAAACAATACTAACCGTTTAGTTACTTTTGGCACAATAAGTATAAGGATTTTTGGCTTAAATGTCAATGCCTTGTCAATAAATTTGTTAGCAAGACAACCCTTAACCCCAAAAGGAGGATTCAGCCCTATGATCTAGTAAAATATCAACAGCAAAAGGAAAAATATATTAATGAAGATATTAAACATAAAAGCATTCATGTCTATATAAATCATGAAGCAAAAACTTTGGAGTTTTACAAGTTGAGAACCGTTGGGTAATTCGTCTGCATTGACACTCATCCAATCTCTCCTTTCAAAATTGAAATCATTCTACAAGCAGTAGGACTCCATTAGCAATAAAAGGCAAGTTTGCAGCAGGGAAAAGTAAGGCAAAAAAGGACGAATACAATTCTACTGTAGAAACAAATCAATAGAAAAAGGGTGCACAGCCATTGGGATGCAACTCTTTAGACAGTTTAGTCCAACATTGACTAGAGATATGATTTAAGTAGTGCTTATAAAGTTTGGTCAGTCATCATCTTACAAGTTACAATTTGGTTTTGAGAAGTTGAGTTAGATCTAAATCCAAATTTTGAGAGAAGTTTTAAAAAGTAGAAAATTTTCGATCATGTCCATTATACAACTAATATTTTAATCCAAGAAAAAATATCTCCACAAAATATGCATGGGGACCACAAACTTATGCTGTCCACCTTTAACATGGACCATTCCCACTTTTCACACAAGTTTCATTACATTGTGATCTCAATAGAACAAAAGATTTACCTTGGGTTGGAATAAATCATAGTTCTTAAATGAACACAGCTTCCCCATCTGTTCAAGCTTTGATTTCATTAGACAACTGAAGTCATTAGAACCACAACAGAAGTCTAAAACCTGGCAAGATTACCACATAAGTGTGGATTTAGTTGAAACAATGGTTAAATCTAGTAGAAATTGTCAGCAGCTATAATAATGAAGATTAGGAGAATTTCTCATCTCTCAAATTTTATCAACTTGAGAAGTTCCATAAAAATTGAATGCTAGTTTTTCTTTATTCCAATAGGGTATAGGAAGTTACATGGCTTCAAAGTAGTGATGTTATCCACCAGAAAGGATTCAATTAATTTATATCCTTCTGACAACATGATGATCAACAACCTAGCATTATTAATAGTATGCACCAACATATTGAAAATGTCTCCTAGTCCAAACATCAGCAAACAAAAACACATAGGGATGACTATGAGACAGATTCTTTTGATGAAAGTCGATGACACCATAATTAACAAGTATCCTTAAAATTAAACATTTTGAAGACCAAAAAGTTATCCCCGGGCTTCATGGACTAAGACTTCAGAGAGCCTGACTATTGATCATGTGTTTGTCAAGACTGAATTTTCTTTGTCTAATGGCTAATGTTTAAGAAATATGAGATCTATCATTTATTCATGTATTATAAAATACTCAACCAGAAAAGTATAGCCTCCCTGTTTTTATCAAACGTTTATGAGAAAACCTCAAAATTATTTGAAGTAGGACAAACCCAATGCTCATCAATAACCCCTCATAAAGAGGGAACCATAGTAAAGTTACTTTCTAAAATGCAAAAATGATGAACCTTATATTTCTGAGTTACAACTAAATAGAACATTGTTATTAGGAGAAAGAGCAGTTGAAGATACACAAATCTGCAACAAATCATCTGTACTAATAATCTTATTAACCATCACTTTCCAAAAAAAAAAAAAAGAATAAGAAAAATAAAGGATTTAAAATTAAAAGCACTAGAAGAATTCATAATCCATAGGTCCCAATTTGATTTGACAGAGAAATGAGTAGATTCAAGTAAAAAAAAAAGGGATTAGCTTTAGAGTCACTCATTTTTTACAAAAGCAGAACTCACAAAATAAACGAGGACCTTTAGTAGCATGATAATAATAATAAAACAAAATGCATTTGTGAAAGTAGAGTGCCTATAGAAAAAATTGATACTGTATCAACAGCTAGGCCAAAAGATATATTGGAAAAAACTCAAGTCTCATATCGACTAAAAATAATAAATACGAAGAGTTTATAAGTGGAAGGTAAACCACCTTATGAACTGATTTTATAGGATCACTCCCCATTGATACACGCACTAAGCCCAATAGTATTGGGCATATGATGGAGTATATTGAGAAAAATTCAAGTCCCACAACGACTAGAAATAAGACAAATAAAGAATTTATAAGTGGGGGGTATTAAGAAAAAGCCAAATCTCACATCCGACTCTAAGATTCTCGGAAGTCAGTTACCAAAAAGTATTAGCAAGGAATTGGAGAAATACATTTAATAACAAGATGACAACAGGAAGAGGTAAAAAAGGGAGTTCAAACTTTGGAGCCTGTGAACTCCGATTTGATTATATTCAAAATGGTATCCAAATATTATGTAGTATACTTCAATTTAGTTAACATAGTTCCATTAAAGTAGTAGAGGTAGAAAATTAGCTTGTTGAAAATATGCTTAAATATATGTAATTTGAAATTGGATAATTTAGACTTATTCTTATCATTTTCACTTAAAAATATTATCAGTTTGTTCTCAAAATTAAGATGCTATCAGTATTTGAATTAACACAATTCAGATTGCCCACTCTTCTACACTCTCCTCCAATTTAAAGCGAGTTAAGAAAGGGAAAATTGATTGTTAAGAGAGACCCTAGAGGGAGAGATCTCACTCTTTATTGTTGGGATAACAATTTAAATTTTCAATTTCAAATCTCTAAGATATTGTTTATATATAAAAATAGAGGAGGGTTATAATAACACCGGTGTAACTTTCACTAAGTATTACACCGTTCAATAAATTTATATTAAATTTGAATTTTGTAAATTCAACTGTTAGATTGAAAGTTATTTACTCTTAGACCATATATACAAAATTTTATATTAATTCAAGATGATTTGATACTTCATTCTTATAAAAAAAAAATTGACGTAATATACACATTTTAAAATATACTAAAATATGAATACTTTGATTGTTAAGTTGTTCAATTTTAACAAAATTTGATATAATCATATAAAATGATATGAACTTTTAATCTAACGGTTGGATTTACAAAATTAATATAAAGTTATTGAGCGCTGTAATACTTAGTAAAAGTTATACCGATGTTATTATAACCCTTCTCATAATATATATATCTATATATATATATTTTATAGTTAATCAATCATTTATACACTGCTAGTGTAAAGTTTTTTACACTGACAACTAATCATATCTTTTAATTTATTTTATTTTACTTTTGTTTGATTAAATGAACAAATGACATGGCACTATTAAGAGATATGATTGGTTGTCAGTGTAAAGAAACTTTACACTGGTAGTGCATAGGTGATTAACTCTATTTTTTAAGGATGTTGTTTAGAATATTATATTTATCTTACAGATTTGTTGCCTCTTATAATGTTAGAATGCAAAGCCAATAAATAGAAACTATTAAGATGAGAAGAACCATCTGGCCTATAGAGTAAGTCACCACCCTAAATGAGAGAGGGGGAATCATATAAAAATTCATCTATACATTTTGACGATCTAAAATTAAAAGTATATAGAAATCAGTCATTTTTTATTTTTCTTCATAAGTAGATGATCTTTCGACATAAAATGTAAATTAAGGTGATTCAAAATTGGTAAATAGAAACCCATGGGCAGATGTGTGATGTGTGGCAAACACATCACACATCTGCTCGTTACTAATGTATATGGTATTATCTTTATTTACATATTGTGTAGAAAGATCATTTACTTGAGATGTTATCTTGAATGTAGACATGAGAGACTAAATCACATTAAATAAATTTGAAATAATAAATAGTCATTGAGATGTTATCATGGAATTAAGAATGAGAAACCAAACCATGTTAAATAAATTTGTATGTCCTTATTTCTTTATGGTATTTGCTTTGTGTGTTCTCTTATCATTATGAGTAAAGAGGAGTTTTTGTTTCCAACACTTAAATTCATTTTCAACAGAAATAAATACTTAGTTTTTTTCTCTATTTTCTATTTTGGGTTCCAATAAAGGTATGTATTAAACAAAATAGAAAATCATGAAGGACAACCACATACCATGTCTCCATTTTGAACATACCAATGAAGCCTATTAACAACCTGCGTTAGGAAGCACATATTAGCTCTACTAATGAACAAGAGCATGAAAAAGTAAAAACACACGAGAATTTATCATTAAAGTTATTTCTAGCATTTTAATTCATAAAATCATTACTTAGAACTAGTTACTGCTGAGGCTAAAAGCAAGGGAAAACTACCTAGTACACGATTTAAGTGTATAATTTATTGGAGATATTTAGATACAATGAAGCCCTTCAAGTTGTTCTGATAAAGATGAACAATATCATTCTTATATAATATCTATATAATATTATTGACTTATGAGTAACTCTTGTCAGTTTGTGCATCTGTGGAGACAAAAAAAATATAAATAAAAATAAAAATAAATAAAAATATAAAAAATCAATGATAAGACACGAACTAGGTTGAAATGTGCTTGCAAACATGCACACACACAAGCATAAAAATTGATGACGATCTGTCCTGTGTAATAAAAGTAAAAGAACAGGATAAATGCAATAAATATTCACCTTTTTGACAACCAATGGTTAAAAAAGTTCAGATATAATGTATTTACCTCATTCAATTTGTCTACTTTAGTGAAATGACGACCAAAGGAAGTATATCGCATGCCATGAAGAAAAGGTGCAAGATAGACCTTGAGCCGCTTCTGCAAGTGAATTAATAATCAGAAAATTGAACTGAGGTATTTTATGTTTCCTCCAAATATAAAGTCATTCATATATATCTATAATACTAGTACTAACAGATTAGTTTTTCCATGATGGTGAATTTTTTTTATAAAATGCAACAAAAATGTACAACATCAATACAACAAACCAACCACTAACACCTACTTATATTAATAATCATCCAGGTTCCGTACTAGTACTAGTTTATTGACAGTTTACAACAAGCACAAGCCCAACCTGATAAGACTATTAGCTGCGAACATCCGGACTAATTTACAGTCAAGCTCAGTAAAATAAAAACTGAAAGTCATGCTTTAGTATTGTTATATATAAAAAGTTAAAAGAAAAAGAAACTGGTATTTTAATTGTTATATATTAAGGGTAAACAAACTATGCCTTAAAAAGGAAATAAGGAAATAAATATCAAGATAGAATGATATATTTTGGGACCCTTAAAATGTCTATGATATTTACAGCACTCCCCCTCAAGCTGTTAAATGAATATCAACCATTCGCAACTTGCCAACAAGTTACTAAAACCTAGCAATAGAAAGCCCCCTAGTGAGGACACCTACAACTTGAGCTTTGAGGATGGATGATTCACAATATGTTACTAGAGCCTTTAATACTAAGCAGTCTACAGTTTCATACTTGCCATCACGTTCTTCTAATAAATAGTTGAATTTCAGCACAAGGTAGGTAGACTTGTGTTAGGAACACAAACAAATCTGAGTTTACAAAAAGTGTGAGGGAATAAAACAGGGGAAAGAATATTTCTCTAGTGTTTATTTTACAAAGAATAAAGAGAATCCTCAACTCAAGGGTTTCCCCTTTTAATACTGGAGCTAATGTTCAGTTCCCAAAAAATAACAAGTCAGAATGTCAATTCTTCTACCTTCTCCTATTTAAGCTAATTCCCTGCGTCTACAACTTCAACTCCCTAACTTTTCTAACTGACTACTGTCTGGCCCTATCAAATATGTGCATGGTCAATGTTCACACTTTAAGACCAAACTGCTCTAGAATGAGAAGGTCTTAGAATGTGGTTTTGGCTTAACCCAACCCTACAAAACTGGCTTGTAAGGTGAGGGTTGTCTTCTACTTATATAATCTTTAATTGCCTTATCTATAGTTGATGTGTGACTTGAATTTGAGTTTTTCCCAATAGAAGACATGTTAGAGATGTAATGTAAGCATACTGGGATTGTCGGTTCATGATAAAAATTAGTGTTAGGTGAAAACAGTGAATATTTTTGTATTACATCTCTAACAAGCATGATGAAAAGGTATCTCAACCTGCCAAATAAAAAGCTGATGGACGACTGCTGGATCACAAATAGTTTTTGCTTCTTCAATACTACATCCTTCTTCTAACCTCTGTAAAGCTGTTTGAATAGCCTGCAAGAAACCCAGATATCCTTTAACAAGAAGAATAATAGCTAATTGGCCATTTGAACTTGATGCTAAGATTCTATTTGACATCAATACTGACAGCTAAATTCAAGATGAAAAAAATAAGACAAACCTTAATTAAACCTTCTATTTTTCCTTGAGTAAGGTTCTTGTCAAATATAGTTTCAGTGAAACATGAAGCTGTAGAGAAGACTTGATGGTTCTTTTTGAATTTTTCCTCATTAAATGCAGACATGGATTTTTTCATCAAAGACAAGATACTGCATCAACAGTGACGGATAAATGTAAACAGCTGAATTTAAAAATCAACTTTTTCTTTAATTAATCCAAGAAAAAACACAAAAATATGACAATGCACATAAAGTACCTGTTTTCCATATCACCATTGTTAAAGTTAAGTGATGTTTTGACTTTTTTTACTAGAGGCTTCTCTAAACCTGTTTTTCCGATTCTTCCACCAACCAATTTTCGCTGCAGAGGTTTAGCTTCATGTAATCTTGAATTACAGGACAAGCTAGTATTTTTCAAAGGTAACTTTTTTGCAGGATTTGGTAAGGAACTATTCAATGCAGAAACCTTTTTAACCTTCAAATATTTTCTGTTCATGTCAAACTTGACTGATCCACTTGAGAAACATATATCCTTCTTAAAATATATTTTTTCCATATCTTTGGCAGAACCACCACCTTGGATGCTAACACTTCGCTTTGTGACCTGATTTGGTACCAATGTTTTCTTAGAAGGAAGATCATCAAAACTTTGTCCCAATTTTATAGTATCTTTTCCTTTGCCTAATAATTTGTAATCGATTATCTTCCTTTTGACTTTCACATTAGGAAATACCAGATGGTTTCTAGCAGGAGTCCCAAGTTCGGTATCTATCTCATGATCCCTGAGCAACAATGGATTAAAAACAAAAAGTGTTAGGCCTTATATGACTACTACTTTGAGGATAATATGAGGGAAAGGGGAGAAATTTGGATTGTTAAAGGAGGGGATTTGTTAAAGAGTAAGGATGAAAGGGGTGGACTGGGAAGGATCTGGTGGATGTAGTCAAGATTATATCAAGGTAGAGAGATTTTAGGAGGGTGGGATATTCTGTGCGTCTATAGAATTTCCCTAGCTATTTTTTTTTATCTTACTGCATTTTCTGTGATTTCAGTCTCAGTAGAGGGTTACCTGTACTTGCAAGGAAGCTCAGTTTTCCTTATTTATACTCCAAGTCCAAGTTACTATCATATAGAAATAAGGAGACATCTACAATCGAAACACACTTTTAACATCCGATTATTTAAACACTAACAACTTACATGCAATATATCAAAATTCGATGGTCAAGTAGACCATCCCAGGCCCTCTGCTCAATGCCCTTATCATAATCAAATGTGAAGGAAATTTCCCTGAAGGAAGTAATAGAAAAATGAGACATGTAGATGCAGGCATGAGCATGCACAAAGAAGCATTATATAGTGGGTTTTCATTTCAACAAATGAAACATAATGCTGTTGATATGAAAGCCTGTAACCATAAGGAGTTAATTAAAAGGAATAGAAATGAAAAAAGAAAAACCTACTTGGGTAAGCATTTTCTGTGATAAGCTTTAGGGCACCGTCTACATATTGCTAACTGCAAATCATGAACATTTTTATTTTCACCTTTTTTACATGAAGAACATATATGAAGAGGACAGACAAATGCTTTCGCAATAGCAACTCTCTTTCTCATTTCTTCTTGTTCAGTGTCAATACTAGAGGAAAGTAGCCTTGTGACACATTCAGGATGGTAGTAGTGACCACAATTTGCAGTAACACAAGGAAATACCTAAGAAGAAACAAACAATAAAAATTTGTGTGCATTCTACAAATTCAAAAGCAAAAAGCAAGTAAAATAATTTCAGCGTTTAAAAAAATTTTGCACTCCAGACTTGACTACAAAACCTCATCCTAAACCTTATAAAATGCAATGGATCAATGAGGAGAGAGGTATTGTAGTTAACCAACAAGCAAGCATACCAATCTCCATTGGCAATTATAAAGAAGAAGTTTTGTGTGACATAGTGCCATTGGAGGTTAGTCATGT